TTATAATACTCATTTTCCATAAGCTTTTTGAAAACCTGTTTGTGAGATTTTTAAGTTATTTTTTAAAAAATATGCCCGTGATAGATATGTTATTCTGCAATTTGTTTGCTTAAAAAACATGTTGTATGGGGTCAGCATATGGTGGCTAAAGTGCTGGACTTCCACATGGCTGACTGCAGTTTGAGTCCTGGACCTGGACCTTGACCTGGCAGCTTGCTTTCTCATTCTCTCTCTCTTAATCTCTGATGAGCACATGTGCCCTATAGTAAATTAAAATAATAATAATAAATAAAATTAAATAAATCTTTTTAAAAAAAATGTTGGGACCAGCAATTAGCATAATGGCTACACTGGGGCTCCCCAGTAGTCAACCACGGTCCAAGTCCCAGACACAGTGGCTTAAACTCACGATGGGTGCGTGCGCGTGCATACCCAAGATCCCAAGAGGAGAATGGAGGAGAAGGGACTGTGGCATGGCCATTCCCCCCGGGGTGATTTCTCACTTTCTGTCGCTCTGTTTCTCTCTGTCTTTCTGGCGAGTGCACGCACCCTATAGCAAAAACCTCTCAAAAAAAAAAAAAAATGGGAACCAGCAGTTAGTGTATGGATTCCCATGTAGTCGACCGCGGTTCGCGTCCCGGACCTGGTGGCTTAAAACTCACGCCGGGCGCGTGTGTGTGCGTGCCCAAGATCCCGAGAGGAGAATGGAGGAGAAGGAATTGCGGCATGACCATCCCCGAAGGGGGGGTGATTTCTCGCTTTCTGTTTCTTTGTCTCTCTCTGTCTGTCTGGCGAGTACACGCGCCCTATAGCAAAAACCTCTAAAAAAAAAAAAGCCAGAGATTTCTGTCTGACTTAGTAGAGGATCTAGTTTATCCCCTTCTATAGTAAGCGTATAATCTACCTTACATACAAGTAAGTTACATAATATTTCAACTATAAATATCATGCACTTTAATCAACCATCTCCCTACTAAATGAGCACTTAGGTTGTTTTTGGTTTTTAGCCTCCACAAAGAGCACAATTAAGTGCATAATTAACAACATGACATTAAATATTTGTGCTGTTGTTTTAGTAGGAGAAATTCCCCAAAGTGGAATTTCTATCTTTTTAATGCTCTAGAAGTTGCCAGATTACTTTCCCAAAAAGGTGTAAGGACTCATGTTCTGCTTCTTTGCATCCTCCTCAGAGTAGTGAAAATTGTATTTGACTGCACTTTAATTTTTTTACATTGCCCAGGAGAGTGGGCACTCATCAGCGAGACAGAGAGGGACAGGAGAGAGAGAGAAAGCACTCCCCAGGGGAGTGCGGTCACGCTGCAGTCCCTTCTGTATTTCTCCATCCTTCCAGGATTTTGGACACACATGCACATGTGCTTGGCATGTTTTTCAAGTTGGCAGGGTTGGGATTCAAACCACAATCAGCCATGTGAGACCAGTTCTCTTAACCAGTAGACTAGAGATCCAACCCCATACTTTAATTTCTCTTTCACTACTAAGTAGTGGTATTTTTCATATGTTTACTTGTCAGTTGGGTTTCTTCTTTCTTTTTGCCTGTTTATATTCTTTTTTTTTTTAATAGATTTTCTTACGGTAGGCTACACGTGCTTGCTGGAGAGACAGAGAGAGAAAAAGTGAGAAATCATCCCCTAGGAGGCATGGCCATGATGCAGTCCTGTCTCCTCCATTCTCCTCTTGGGATCTTGGGCACACGCGCACACACACGTGCCCGGCATGAGTTTCAAGCCTCCAAGTCCAGAATTCAAACCGTGGTCAGCCATGTGGGAGTTTAGTGCCTTAACCACTATGCTACCTGCTGGTCCTGCCTGTTCATATTTTTTACCTTTCTTATTTTCCCTGCTTGTATTAAGGTTCTGGGCTCTGAAGCTGGACACCTTGAGGTGGAAGCCAGGCTTCTGTTTAATGCTGTGAGCCTTTGGACAGCATGCTTAACTCCCATACCTTAGTGTCTTCTCTTTTAATGAGAAGGGTCAGTAATAGGACCTGCCTCCTGTGGTGTGTAAAATTTAAATGGTACTTAGGATGATATCTAGCACATATCAATAGATTTTGGCTATTGTCAATAAATATTCTTCTTCCAAGATTTTTACTTTCCCTAATTTTGGGGTGAAACTGTGCCCTTCAAGAGCAACGTTTTTCTCACCTCCTAGATTTCGTTTACTAATTCAGTTCCTTCGCCTACTATTTATTGTATGTCCCCTCTGCTTGCTGTGCTGTCCTAGGCCATAGGGGCAAGGGAGGAACGCTAAGAAGCCAGGTTTGTTTGTTGTCTGTCTCCTAGCAGTGCTATCAATGCAAGGTAGGTTCGAACTTTTAGGTTATTTTTACATCTGAAGTTGTGCCTCCTTTCCTGTTAAAAATTCTCTCTAGGGACCAGCAGATGATGTAATGATTATGTCACTGGACTCCCACATAGTCGACCACAGTTTGAGTCCCTGACCTGTGGCTTAAAACTCACACTGGGTGCATGTGCAGGCATGCCTAAGATCCCAAGAGGAGAGTGAGGAGAAGGGATTGTGGCATGGCCATCTCTCCGAGGGTGATTTCTCACTTTCTATCTCTTTCTGTCCCTCTGGTGAGCATACACACTCTATAAGAAAAATCTTTCTGTTAAAAAAAAAAAAGAAGAAGAAGAAGAATGTCTCTAGTGATGGATACATCTGTTGGGCATTAGTGGCAACACCAGGATGCTTTATGTCTGTTTTGGCTGGTAGTTGATTTCTTTATTTCTTGTACTATGTCTGCATCCTGATTCATCCTCTAATTATGTGGAGTCTCTTAGCAGTTGTTAGTGCTTTCTTTATTTCTTGTCTCCTAGCATAATCAACTTGAGACAACAAGCATCTCTCAGGAGGGTGCCAGAGCTTAAATCTGCGTTAAGAACCCATTGCCCTCCCCTAGCATATGAGGTCACAGTCTCTGCCTTTCGGGAAGGACTCTAGCAGATGACTGGGAAATAGAGTGTGGTACTGCTGGTGGTGCTTCCCACGCCTCGGACTGGTGGCTTCGTTAGGAAACAGCACCGGCAGCATTCAGTGTCAAGCAAATTAGTTGGAGCTCAGTTAAGTCGATTTCACTTGTGCATTCTTTAGCTCTTTTGATGTGAAATATTAGGAAGGGTGATAGTCAAGATGAAGTAAAAGGCATGGTCCCATGCTCCCATATAGAGTCTGCTTTAGCCATGGGCACATATTTCACCCTGTTGGCATGAACAGAAGACTTTCAGGAATGAC